TGTATTTGATTATAATAGTCACACTCAATCGCAAAGTGATTTTCATCTTCAATCACGTTCGTTTAGCAAATTCAACAGTTTTTCTGCTATTCGCTCTCCTATATAACGGCCTGTTTCAATTCTTAAAGGTCATACTCTAAATTAGCGAACATTCATATTTTTAGGATGTCTTCACATTTATGTACATTCTTTACACACCACTTGTTAGAGAAGTAATTCTGATTTTGTTTATTTATGTCTGACATAACGACCATTGGTCGTGAATTGAATATACCGCTGAGTGAAAGGCTATTCATAATTTATTTAACGTCATAAGACCAGTTATTGTGACATACTGTTATGTCATAATTAAACAATCGTTTTGTGAGTTTATCATTATCCATTTTAATCAGCCCAACGATTGTAGATACGCGGCAGCTTTGCTAAAGCATCACAATTTGCAATGTATGCATGGTGATGCCAAACTATTTGTACTTATCTACAGTCTCTAACGTGAAAATTTGTCTGACATAATGGCAATGTCGTCGATAGCATAGCGTCACTCATCGATATATCAAGGTCAAGGTCATTGACCTCTTGAACTCACTCATTTGGGAAGACGGCGAACAAGGAAGGAGAAAGATTACATACCGTAAATGTAACAAACATGTTATTGTCATAAAAAACATAAAGAGTAATTTAAAATGTTGCACAACTATAAACAGAACTATAAATATAAGCTTTGAAATTGTATACAGCAACTTTTCGCCCAAATAACATATCTATCGTACAATATGGAAGTGAACCTTTGAAGTATCCCAGCTCTCCGTCCATTTACTTTCTGAATTAATGTGTAAATTATTTATATACATGTACTTAGAGTAAACTCGAACTTGATATCTGAAATGTATAAACGGGAAATAAATTTGGCATCACTAGATTTTAATTTATATTTGCATTACTTCCCTTCCTTTAAGAACAATTATGTCGACAATATTCAGTTGTCGGACAGACACTGTGTTTTGTTGAAAAAATACAAATGATATAAATATCTATCTAATTGTCTTTTTGCTGATAGATGGTTCCTCCAAATATTGTCTTTACAATGTTTTTACAGATGTAAATGTTTTAAATGGTTTTTTTTTGTTTAACAAGCTAGATAAAAAAAACATCCACCTGACACTCTTGAACCTTTATTTTTCTTTTCTTTTTTTCTTCAAGCTTTAAACATTCATATGATTATGTTAGAACTATGCATTTAACATCTTATATTGTTAGAACTATGCAAGAATAGTATCTGTCTGCTTGAGTTCATGTAGATAATTCTAAGATTTAAATTGACCCCTTAATGCATATGTTTTTTTCATATTTTAGATAACTCTTTTGTATATAAAAAAAATTCAATCTGGAATTACAGGCAAATCATTATAACAAGGTATATATACTATAATAATTTTAACAAAGACATTAGTCATTATTCATGACTGTTCAGAAGGCATATTATTGTTGTTGTTTTTTTCCTTTCCAGTAAATGGATGTAATATTCTCTCTAGCCATCTTTGTTTTCTTAGTTCTGTATAAGTAATAGATATATATCCTAATAAATGTCTTTTATAATGACTAAGAATTTTATATGATTTTAATATATTGTATGTACTTGTGAATTTGTAACAAGGTCTCAGAACATGTTAAATTACCTATATATTCAGAAAAGGTGATATTGAATATTCATTCGAACTTAGACTGTAACAATTTCAGAGAATAGTTTGTTTTCAAGAAAATCAATGTTCATTTTTGATTTTACGAACTCAAAAAAAAAACCATTGCTATATTCATTTATGGTAAAATAGAGAATAGGTCAAATATTAACTGTAAATTATAAAGAAGTATCTGAAAATGTCTAATGTTTGTTCATATGCATTTAGAAAATACTATAATTATGTAATGTCCTTTTGAATTTATATGAATTTATATACTATTGTATGTCTTTGTGAATTTTAAGATATGTTATGATGTTTGTATGTGAATCAGAAAATAAAGTTACAAATTAAAAATATATATATATATTGTCTTTACATGTACGTTTAATAGATAAAGAGACAGTTTATTTAAGTGACGTGGGCAGACACATCTCTTACTGCAAAAAAAAAATCACTCACGACCTAGTGGGTCAATAAGTTACTATAAGTAGCAAGTGACATTGTGGTTAGGGCATATATTACAGGAAACCATTCTTTTAAATTTTGCACAGATTAAAACATTGTAGTAAATATCTTAAAAAAACATTGTTGTAAATAACTTAAATAAGGTTATGAATAATAAACTGTAAAAAGTAAATGTTGTTATTTTCATATATGCACTGGCCGGATAGTTAGAAAATTTTAAGGTTGAATGCGCATTAGAATTCCAGTTAACCGCTGTAATTGAAATAATCTTCCCGTTAATGGGAAAGGCACAATGATTAAACTGAAATTACTTCCGAAATAAATATAAACATCTCTAGAAACAGGACATTAATGTTGCTTGTGTTGTGGATACAACTGGCACTTGACCTTTGTGGTAAAACACATCAAAGTTTTACTTCAAAAGGATATTAAACAAAAGAAAATCAGTACGACATGTGTCATATTTGCTCGTAAAAATATCTTCGTTTGTATATTTTTGCACTTTTTCACTATTAACTCATTAATATTGATCAGCGAATGTTTTAATCTAATTCAATTTCCATTATAGATATACTTAAGTAAACGTGTCTATAATGTAAAGTCTGTAATAATATAAATAATAAATGCATATAATAGATAGTATTTAGTATCAGACATAACAAGAAACCACGAAAGAATTATAGATGGATGTTGTTGGCAAGTGTGAAATACATGTTGTGGTATTACATATATTTATATAGCAGATAATAAATTGTTTCTAGAACAGAATATTAATATTCACCATATTTCAATGTTCATACTGAATCTTTTAGAACATTATCAATAAGTTCATTCAAGCAATATTTCATAAGAATATCATATGATACATTTCTATTGCTTTCATCAATATTTGAAATACTTATTTTGATTCGTTTAATTCAAAGCTCATTGCAGACATGTCCACTTTAGCTTTAAGAACATATAAAGTTATACAACAAAAGGTTAATTGATTATTAAATTATAGAAACGTTATCAAAGTTGATAACATAGAAGCTTTATCATTTATTTATTTATTTATTTATTTATTTATCTATTTATTTATTTATTTATCCATCCATTCATTCATTCATTCATTCATTCATTCATTTATTTATTTATGATAGCAAAAAAAATTGTTTGACATGTTTATTATCTAAAAGTTTATGAAATTTTGTAAAATTGTCTTGAATGCATCTGACCATTCAAAGTACATATTTTTGCTTAACAGAAACAAAACATGTTAAGATGAATTAGTGACTCTCAGCTTTTTGTATGTATATTGAATTGTGTATTATGTTGTTTTTTCATTGCAATGTCTCGTTATTAACATGTATTTAATATACAAAAGCTCTGTAAATACCTTATTATGAATACAATCATAAATAATAAAATATAATTATAAAAACGAATTGGGATTATTTATATCTGTTTAAATGAATGATATCACAATAATATCAAAACCTATACCATATGAAACAAGCTTGTCATTCATTCGTACTATTAAAATATTAAGCCACGTAAATAATAAATCTCATTGAATGTCAACTCTTTATCCATAATTCTTCGAAAAAGTAATCATCAAAAACATATTTAAATGATTCATAATATTATAGTAAAAATATATTTTCCTCTTTCTCATGATTATCAATGACTATTGAAACTGAAACAATAGTCAACAAACCGCAAAACCACGTCCTGTTTATCCCCGTCCTGCTTAAATTGTCAATGGATTTGAACTTTCAAATCGGAGTGCATATTTCGAATCTCATTGAGACTCGTAAAATAAGCGATATAGATTGTCCTTACTTATTTGGAGGGGTCAATAGTGAACTTACCGAAATCCAAATTTTTTCAGCTCATCCAGTCTTCACAAAGATTCCAACATTGAATTCATTGGTTTGGGAAAAAATTCACTTGATGTTTTATATTTCAGATGATGAAATACTTAGGGTTAACATCAACGAATTTTAATATCAAACGAATCAAACTATGTATTAATTTATGATCAGGTTTAAAAATGGCCAACCTTCAAATGGTGTAATAATTGTCTTTATTTCATCTTATGTCATGATAAGTATATCATAAGCGTGGCATTCTTTCCACACCTACTGTTAAAGATAAAGGTGTTAGCTATGAACTTGTGGAAGTTTTGATCTTTTTCTGGTGAACTCATGACATTGTCGTAAAGCACATTTTCCAAACATGTTCAAGCATAACGTAAAAAATGACCTAATAAAATCTGACATTAAAACGGAAATTCTTCGGCCTGTGAATACAATATTTTTTATAGTATAAATGAGGTAAATTGGATGGAGACGTCAACAGTTTCTGCTAATTTTGATCATGGTCAATTTGACTAAAGTTAGATCTACTTATTTCTTGTAGATCTGATAACCACGGTATATATTTCGCCTTCTTTACGTTTGAAGTAATTTTTAACAAGAAAAAAAATCTGAAGTTATTTTTAACAAATTTACTTGAAATAATAGATTCAATTTTTAATGGGCAAAAAAAATGCAGTTTACGTGTCGACTTTATGGACAATGTCATGCTTGTTCTCGAATTCGTGAAAATTACCTACTCAGTATTGGTTTTCCAAGGGTTAAAATTAGAAACCACATCGCTTTCAAAATTATGAAAGCTCACTGATGATTGACTGTGTGAAACTCCACCAGAAATTATCTCGTATTGGGTCTCGGTCAGACCTAAACGCGGAGCGTTATTTACAGCGGATTTTAATCAGATTGGATCATGGTGTAATTCAGGTCAAATAGATTATGCTAAGATATGTAATATCACCGATATTCTATCCACGAAACAAATTCTTGAAACACGAAAAAGAGATTCTACATATGTATTGCATAAATATAAATAGATAGAAGTATTAATAATTGAATACATAGTTAATATATATAAATAGATATCTAAATGTACACCATATATGAACAGATAATATATTATGCGTCTCTAACTGACATTTTATATCTTTCATTGTTGTACCATTTTCTTGACGTGACTCTTCCTTTGTGTGAACATGTGTTGTGGCTATATTATTCTAGTCTAGTGAAGTAATCTGTCCAAATTCTTCTGTTACAAGCCCGTCCCTTCTTTCTTAATTTTCCTCGTTTTGAACACAATCTTCTATTGGACAATCTAAATGACATCGTTCTAGAGGAGGAGTCTCTTAATGGGTTTATAGCATGTCCTGAAATACCAGCATCATTATACGGAATAGCGTCAATATCATCCCTGGATACTTTAAATCCTGAAGATAAAAAGAAAGTTCTAATGTAATTTTTGACGCGATGTTTTATTTACATTCGATATCATATTTCTCAGGTAGAACAGAAATTAAGCAATATACCTGCAAAACAAAAGTAAAGTGTGTCTGTTTAATTATCATGTACATTGTATATGTTTCATATGAGTATATAACAAATACCTGAGATTGAAACACTAATCAATACTTACTTCTAAATACAAGGATGAATCCCCGTCCTGATTTTGACTTTTGAAAAGGCTTGAACCTAATAACAAGTTTGCCACCTTTCACTGTAAAGTAGGAGCCTTCTTTTCCGGTTTTTGCGTTTACTATAGTATCCTTACTCGACTTTCGCACGTGCGTTATTGAAAATTTGTCTCTTCCGTCGGGATCAAGGTTCATGTCTTGAACTATCAGTGTCACTGCTTGCCTTCCACCAATCTATTTAAGAATAATATTGAGATCAAACATACATTTTTAAGATACATGTACACTTACACGCTTTTATCTTTATTTTCTCATCCTTAATTAGGTGGAAGACTATCATTATTTACCGCTCAACCTATTACAGAGTTCAACACCACTCATATATGACCTGCCAAGATGTGCGAGCTAACCATTTCAGTTTAATTCGTTTATTATTTTGAAAATATTATTAAGTATTGGTTCTTACATTTATAATCCGTTTACACTCGTCAAACCGCGGATTAAAGTACCATGGATACACTGGGTGACTCCGAATAATTCCCCATGATGAATTGATAGCACTTGTTTCATTGGTACAAAGATCTGTGATTTTAGCTGTTGAAAGTAAAATAAAAGTTCACTTTCAATGATTTGCCTACATGCATGTAGTTACGTCGCTCATTTACAAATAAGCAAGAACTTCCATAATTAAGTAAGACTTTTAACGTATGTAATACTATTTATAATTACACATTTTACTAGAAAATCATTTCAAATATATAGCCACTTGGTATACAAATAAACGAGGAGTTTTAAAGTTATACTGTGAAAAATTACGATATGATCATAAAATAATTTTAATAATATTACCTTTATCCACACATCTATGACCAGAAAGACCGATGGTTGAAGCAGAAAACCCGATACACTTTGCCTCTTTCGTCACAACAATTCGGCTCGACTTCTGCCATGTAATATCGCAGGACTTTTTCCAGTAGCACAAGTTTCTCTGCACAAGAAGTTCAGGTGAAAATCCTCCACACGGATTCTTTTTGGTAAACATACATTTCGATTTTCTTCTCGTATATCCTGACAGGGCGACTGCGGGGGAATATATCACCTCGTCATTTTCACATGAAAGTCGCATGTGTCCTTCTACATCTACTGCACATTGTTCTATAACTGGCTTCACTATAATGACATTCAAAACCATCTATTTATTATCACTTAAGATTTGTTATATTATTTCCACAGATGCATGTATATGCTTTTTAAAATAGGAGTTATTACGAATATCTCCATTCGAAACAGAAGAAAAAATATGTGAATAGAGAATGATATGTCACATTGTCTTTGAGATAATCGGGAAAAAGCATAAAATGTTTAGACGTTACTTTGATATTTTTAGATAAACTTTAAAACAAGCATAATCTTACCATCTACTATCCAGCCTAGTTCCTTCATTACTGGTCGAGAACTACTTGGCCATTTTAAAACAGAATTAAGTTGAGAACTTTCATACGCTGAAATTGAAAATATCACTTCAATCATTAAACAAGACCTTTATCGCATGTGAACTGCATTTGACATGAATGCGTATTGTATGTGTATAGGTGTATATTGTATGTATATTGTATGTATATTGTATTCGTATTGAATATTTATTGATTGTGTATTGTATGTGTATGTAATGCATATTGCATGTGTATTGAATTTGTTCTAAATGTGTATTGAATGTGTTTTGTATGAATCTTGAATGTGTATTTGTATGTGTCATTATTTTTTTATGTAATAACACTTATATAATATATATTAAAAGATTAAAATCATTTTTACTAATCATACAACTTTTAAAGACATATTTTATTATTTAATATTGATGCGTGTCTGTAAAGATTTTTAAGAAAATTTATTATTGAATCATCCTTAACCAATTGAATGTGTTTATAGAATTTGTCAAGCCTTAAATTTGGAACAGCCACACAAACATATTTAACAAATTCTATAAAAATGTATTCACTGGCGGTGAACGCATTGAAATATATTACCATTAAATTGTAATATGAATCCTTCAAGCGTTCTTCTTTTCCAACGATAATCTACAGTAATTTTTAATGCTTTTGATGTGTTTCCATGCAACATAACTTCTTTCATCGTAGAAATATTTTCTGTTTTCTGACCTCCTTTAAGAACGTTTTGCAAAGTAAGTCCACTAGGAAATGTGTTATTTTCTGTCACAGCCTGTATGATAAGAGTTTTCCTATCTTTAATTGGTATAGTCATGGCACATATTTCCGCTCTTGGTTTGCTTCTGGGATACTCACGATGACTTTTGATCACGCCGATCTTATAATCAGATCTTGTTTTTGATTTTAAACAAATGTCAATGATGATGTCTGAAAATAAGATTCAATAAATCCAAAGGCAATCTATGCATACTTGTTTAATCAACATTGTGTATTAACTATCTAATGTTTACCTTTTTTTATCACATAAACCGTGGCGCAGGAGTGTAATAATAGAGGATATTGAATGAGTGTAAGTTCAATACTGAATTTATTGCACGAGTTGAATAAGATTATATTATGCGAGCCTCTGGCGAGCATAATATCATTTTATTCAACGAGTGCAATAAATTCAGTAATGAACTTACACGAATTTAATATTCTATTTATCACAATCCCAAAATAAAGACCATTTAAAGTGAAATTAGAGTCATTTTTCATTGACGCGCCTATAGTATAACGCTAACATTTAGCGCGTCTTTACACTATGTTTGTATAACGCTAATGACGTCACGTCAAAATATATGCACGGCCGTGCAATACCATATTTACGGAGTCGCAAAATCGGCACGGGTGTGTGATAAAGCCATTTAATAAAAACGATATTACACTAGTGTAATAACACTTTAACGTGACGTCATTTGCGCTATATAGAAACATAGCGTTAAAGCGCGCGAATGTTAGCGTTACACTATGGGCGCGTCATAGAATAATTACTCACTTTAACAGTTTACTGTTCTTATTCCATATATGTGATAAAAAGAATATTATATTCGTGTAGATTCAATACTAAATTTATTGAACTCGTTGAATAAAACAATATAATGCTCGCCAGAGGCTCGCGTAATATGATTTTATTCAACTCGTTCAATAAATTTAGTATTAAACTACACTCATTCAATATCCTCTATGTACTAAATACATATGTGGTTTTCATTTTATTTGTATGCAACAATAATTGAGCCGCGTCATGACAAAACCAACATAATGGGTTTGCGACCAGCATGGATCCAGACCAGCCTGCGCATCTGCGCAGTCTGATCAGGATCCATGCTGTTCGCTATCAGTTTCTCTACTTGTTATTAGGTGTGTAAGCGAACAGCATGAATCCTGATCAGACTGCGCGGATGCGCAGGCTGGTCTGGATCCATGCTGGTCGCAAACGCACTATGTTGGTTTTGTCATGACGCGGCTCATTTCCATCAATGCCTTCCATTACTGTCACAGTAATCATTGCGTATTGAGAATCTTGATGCAATATGATAAATTCAAGTTGTTTTTATGACCTAGTTATTATGATTTAGTCATATATTCTCCCTTGTATTATAAAATATGTAGACATGCTTTTATTTCAGTATTTTGTCAGCTAAAATGATATTTACCTTTTGGTATACAGTACATTTGTTTGATGATAATGTAAGTTATATTGTGAGATGATGGTGGTGATATAGATGGATTGTTATGTTCACACGTTCTGATAGTCCCAGCATTACACAGTTTTATTATGCATCTCTTTTTCCAAAAGCAGTTGTCTGTCTGTCTCTTTATTTCTTTCGTAGACCCAACACAGTCTGTTGGAGAAGGGTTACATATTTTACTCTCACTATTTCCCGCCAAAATCACTGGTCTGTATATCACGTAACCTCTCGGGCACGAAATTCGAATTTTCTCTGCTGGTTTTGTCAGACATTTGATTACTTCTTCTGTAAAAGAGAATTTTTTCAGATATATTTTACAAATATTTTTGTAAAAGAATGTAATGTTCTGTTGTCATGCTTTTCAAAGTTACGCCGATGTATTACAATTTTTAAATGCTCAATAAAGTCAACGTTTTGGTTTAAACATATTTATTTTTTTCATCAAGTTACAATATTCACATCAAACACAAAATTTATACAAAATCATGATAAAGTGGATTGTACTGGAAGCTCAAGGCTTATTGTAATTCTCTTCACTTCTGGCTAGACATCGGTACATATTTTGGTGATACAGATGATTTAATAAATTGTTACATCCAAGATAAAATATATTAACAGTATTATTACATAGAGGATATTTGTTTGTTTTGCATGTAAGATCGAAATATAATTTCACTGAGTGAACACCAGATGCAATATTTTCACGAGTGGCGTAGCCACGAGTGAAAATATAATAGCTGGTGTTCACGAATGAAATATATTTCAATCTTATATGTAAAACAAATAAATTTTCTTTTTAATTCATGCTTATTTTAGTGATTTTAAGTATTTTTTACTGATTTTGCCGCGTAACGTCGCGCATTCTCCTTTATGACGTCATAACATTATGACGTCACATCATCATTTTTGAAATATAGTTCTGCTAAATTTCTCTAATTTTGTTACATTTTTAAAATGATGTATGATGACATCGACTTTCTTTTCCCAAAGAAGCAAAATTTACGTATGACGGCATTTATTTCTGCGTGTTATTCCATTTAGTTATGGTTTTCTTTTCATCCGCATTCAGATATAGTCCGGCTACAGTGAAAATTATATTTTATAAATTTCACTAGTGGTTTATCAGAATATAATCATCTGATATATTACAATAAAACACTGGGAAGCATGAAATAAAAATGTATTAGGAAAATAAGACCAAATTAGAACAAAACAATCGAAAAAAAATCGAGAGAAAAACATAAAGAAGTGTAAAGATTGTTATAGATTTTAGAAACAAAAATGCATCTTTTGTGTGGATATTGTGTCGCAAATAGATATTTGATTGAAAGTGAAAATAAACTCGTGTTAGATCTTGAACAACTCGTACATTGAATTAAGTTCATGCTTATTTATAGATAAAAAAAGAGAATTAAGTATCAATTAAGATACATGGTAGAATGTATTTACGATTAATACGGTTATCTCAGATCGATACGATATATAGAGTATTTTGAATATAAAAAGTTAAGGCAGTCTTCCAATCAGATGATACAGGAAGTTAAGAAGTAACAAATATAAGTATTTAAATATTTGGTTACTTCCTTATAAAGTCCATAAAAAATCTGTATTTTACCTGATAAGCTGTTCAACATACATAATTTTATACACATTAACTAAATTAAATTGCTTGTTTATTGTAAACTTCTAGACTCTAAACTTTAAAGAAAATTTATAAAATAAGGATATGGTTAGATGAAATTAATGATTCAATAATCACGTGACTTGGTTGGTTCTTATTAAACAAGGATCCAACAAAGCGCGTAAACCGTTCTATAGTCAAACCCATTAAAGTCAGATATAATAAAACATATTTTACTCTGATAACTGTTATGTAACGTGTTCCGGTATATATTTTGATACTTATTTTTTTTTCCGTCTTGTCGTATTTCATAAGTTAACATAGTAAAATATGTATAGGTATATTATAAATAGAAAAGATGTATAAGTGCTTAAATTAGGACGTTTACATCGAAAAATGTTTAAGTACGATTTATATCAACCTGAAATTTCTCAGAAATTAAACATGTGGTTTCATAACGTCAATATTACACACGTCATCTTACCCTAACAACGTAATGTTTTCACGTGACAAACGACTCTCGGCTCCTTTTCATTCTTTGTTAAAAACCTTACAGTGTCATGTAATATACATATGGCGATAACAAATTAATTAAGGAAAATACAAATCATCGTTTCCTTATCTGTATTCATCATGTAGTTTATTAGTGAATAAATGCTATAAGCATTTAGTTGTTCATATATCAATACCTACTTAAATGTAAAGTTTTGATAGAAATCTTGTAATGGAAAGAACACTAACACGCCTGATTTTCGTTATATTTGGCATTTACAAAGTTGTTTAAACCATGTAAAATTTTAAAACATCTAAAAAATATATTTGAAAAATAAGGACATTAATACATGTCTGAATAGAGATACATTGACAATAATATAAACTACTTCACCCCGAAATAAACAATAATTGAACGATAAGTGAGACAGATAATTTACCTTGCTATGGCAACATAACACCTTTTACTTGGTTAACGCCCTATTTCAAATGGGGTTTATCTTCCTCAATTGGTTTCGATAGATAACTAGGTTTATTTAGGTCACTTTTTTAAAAGATAATTAATCTGTTTACCTGATAATAAGGACTCAGATTACTTTCCTTATTTGATACATTTGTTTAAATAACATCCTTATTAATAATCTTGCATCGGTTGAACTGTTCAGTTTCTTTTGTTTACTAACGTTTGTATTATCATGACGATTGAAATAGAAATATTAAGATAAAAACGTGTACTGTAAAAGTTTCCAGAAGAGGGAAAATCTTCTTCCCCTGATATGTTCCCAGACAAGTGATAAAGATGTAGTTAATTAGTTTCTGTTTTTGCTTAACCCCAGAATATCCAAATGACTTGATATATTATTCTTATTGTATGTTAGAAACATTGATTTCTAAACAAAATGGTATAAAGTAAGTGATACTGATGATATTTCACAGATGATTCAGGTCATCACAATAAGTACTGTAAGAAGACTTACATCATCTATGTAAATAAAGCGTCAGTACATAAGAAACAAAGATTCGCTTTGCTCAAATAAGTATTAAAATCACCATTCTGCGAGGTATATTTTACACGTATGAACATGTGTGAAAGGCCTGACATGTCGTTTAAAATGTATCAACGTATGTCAAGTCAAGTCAAGTCAAGTCAAGTCAAAAGATTTATTCAGTAAATAAAGGCCACCGGCCCAAAATACATGTCATACAAAATATGATATTTAACATTATAAGGTTGTGTCTTTTACAAGTTTTGACAATCATTACATTTAAATGCTACTGTGCTATAGAGATCATGAGGTGGTAAATATAAGTAGAGATTTTCTTAATTATAGAAATATCATTTGATGAAAGTAATTTATAAAAGTTATGTAATTCAGTTCCGGAATTATACCAGTTTAGTAAATAGGTATTTCTAATTTCTAAATATTTTAACAATGAAAAAAAAGCATGATATTCACAGTCAATATGATAAGTTAAATGATTTTCAAGACAAAAGTTGCAAAAGCGTTCTTGAAAAGGTATATTTAAATGCCTACCGATTTCAACATTAAGTTTGTGATTTGAACATCGAAATTTAGCATATGCTTTCTTATGTTTTACAGGGATTTCTATTAGAAGATACCGTTCTACATTTAATAGGCTTTTAAAATAACAGTAATGGTGACATCTTCTGGCATTGTTAATATCATCATGCCAATTTTGAGTATAACAATCGATTATGCGTTGTTTAAAAATGCTAACAAAAATATTCACATCTCCTAGTTCTTGAGAAATCCAAATGTAACCAAATCCGTAATTGTACAAAAGTATTCGTATTTTGCTAGCCCAACAAGTTCATCCAGCTTCATCTAATCATTAATAAGTAATACAAAGCGGGAGTCTACCACATTCACCTAACACCATGCTTGTATTTGTATTTTTTCGAACATTTAATAAACCCTTACAGAACATATTATGAACAGATTCTATAGTTGGACTAAATTCATACCCCCAAATCTGTGATCCATAACAAAGAATAGGTTTGATCATTGTATCAAAATTTTAAAGTGTTCCTTTATGGGAAAATTACCAAATGGTTTTTCATAACCTTTGATGGCAAAAATTGCTCTTTGAGCTTGTGAAGCTAATTTATCATGAGCTACATTCCATGATAGTTGTGGAGTGAATAACAAACCCATATATTTATAAACAGCAGTTGTATTTACAGGCTGACCGCGAAAAGACCAAGATTCATAATTACGAAGACGACCTCAATTTCGAGATACAATTATCTCTGTTTTGTCAAGATTAATTTCCATGCCTGTGTTCAAGCAAAATTGATCAATTACATTAAGTTGTTGTTGTAATTTTGTAGCAGTTTCAGCACAATTTGTATATATTTGAGAGGAATAACGTTTGTAGTATTTATTAATATTCATTCAAATGAAGCACACCTAACAGTAGTGTTTAACAATTTACACTTTCTTAATTTGTATAAAGTAACAATTAACCTGATGAAATGCTGCTTTACGACACGCAGCAGGCAACAATGTTCTGGTTAAAGAACATAGAAGAAAATGCTACTTCAAAATGCAACACTTTTTTGCAAGTTATAGTCATGTATGCAAACTCAGAAGCGCAGTAATTAGCTTATATAGATTTGGTAAGAGGAACAATGTGCATGGATGAATATTGTGTAAATAAGCCATGTTCCCTATGAAGTTAATAATGTTGTCAGCAAATCTATTTCAATATTATCATCATATTACAACGTTTGTACCGTTTGCAATATCAAAAGGGAAAGGGTGAAAATAAATTGTAATGTGGTCTAAGAAAGCGTTAGTTTGCGACATAATACTAGAAATTTTGCTAGCAGGAAAAAAGGTACGGTGTCTTTTTACAGACGACAATGACCAATATTAACACTTTTTCTGAAGCAATTTTGTTTCCGACTCTCTTCGTCTCTTGGTTAACAAAACGTTTGACCGTGCCAAAATGTCTTAAAATCACCAAACACACAAATAAAAATAATAGTTTGTACAGAACATAAACTTTGCGAAAAATGGAAAATTCGTGCGGCAAAAATATGAAAAGTTTTAGCCGAAAAACAATCTAACTTGATAATGTCACACGTTCTCGATCGTATTTACGAGGTCCATTACAGTCAGTGCATCAAAGGTTAAATTGAAAAAGTTATAACAATGTTATAAATAAATAAAACTAAAAATCAAACATATGAATTATTATTTTTTTAAAATACATAGCGCATGCATAAGATAACATTAATATCAACTGATATATATCTTTATCACAAAGTGTGCATGTTCTTATAATATTTAGTACTCTATAAAGCTAGTACCTACATTACATAATATATCCAAATGTTAAATTGTTTATTAACTTTAAAAGCATTTTTGTGTTTTATCAATGCAAATTGTATTTCTTGAGTATTTGTATCTTGTCAAAGGTATTTGAAATGCTAATTTCAAATAAATGAAATGAGATCAATATAAAATATTATTGAAAATAATAAACTTACCTGCATATATAAACCCAAATACCAAATAGTGTATTATGTTAAATAATATAAATTTAGATATCATTGTTAATTCAACCAAGCACAAACTGAAAGCTTATGTTTAGCAAAATACTTTACTTCCTTTTTGTTATCGTTCTCTGTCAGTCTTACAACGGATGTGTATTAATTATTTTTCTTTATTTATCTGACAGCAAATGCTTGCCCCTTAGTAACGGAGTAAAGGGTTAAACATTAGTAATTCATAGAAACAGTAATTTTAGAGTGGTAAAACTCACAATTGAAACGCATAGTATTATTGTATTACAACTTTAAGATAACACTTTCTTAATTTTTAAAAGTTACAATGAGCCTGACGGCGTACTGCTTTGAGACACGTCAGACAATGGTTTTCATTTACAAAAACATGACAATATAAAAAAGACTTTTGAAATGTTTTGGCGGCCTAACTCTGTATACAATGTATATAACATTTCTTAAAACTAATAATCACTTGTTTTAATTTGTTCACATGAAAAAGAGGCGTTAATGAGAAATTTCTTACGCTCAAATGATGACTTTACGCACTTCGTGAACGAAGTATTTTCAGAAAATGGCAAAAATATGTTCTGGTATATATGTAATTGTGGGACGAAATTGAGACTTCGTTTATTGTGTATAAATCAGTAAACAATGCATATTGTTCATATTTTTATGACTAACTGATTGTGTATGGACAATAGAATTCTGCGAAATACTTGATGACGTTTACACATCGAGATGAGCGTTCCCCTTAATATATGTTTAATAACAATCGTAGCTATACGAAAACGACTATAAGATATGAACTCTGGTTAAATGCAATCTTCACAAATAATAACTTACAGATGGGAAACATTAACGGTTTCAATTTTTTTTCTTAAGCAAAATCAAACAATCAATCAATGTCAAACAGTTGAATTTATTCCATCAAATGACTGATTGTAGGGCTAAATGTACTGAAACATGATGTATATATGAGCCGCGTCACGACAAAACCAACACTGCGTTTGCGACCAGCATGGATCCAGACCAGCCTGTGCATCCGCGCAGTCTGATCAGGATCCATGCTGTTCGCTTACCAACCTTTTTACAAGTAGAGAAACTGATAGCGAACAGCAAGGATCCTGATCAGACTGCGCGGATGCGCAGGCTGGTCTGGATCTATGCTGGTCGCAAACGCACTATGTTGGTCGTGACGCGGCTCATTATACTGTTGATGCAAGTTTGCAGAGTATTGGCCGCATCCTATGGTGCTCGTTTGTGGCGTTTTACTGAGTGTCAGCGGACGTTCGTCATGAGCGTGTGGTGTTTGTCGAGTGGTTAGTCGTTGACTTTAAACCACTTGCCCTCACCCTTATGAGTTCGAATCCAAATAGGGACTGAGGTATTCCTCCACCAGTAAAGCTGGAAGTCACCGTATTGAAGATTTTTTTTTTTTCAAAACACCAAACATGATGGTATTGAGCTTAATTGATTCATTTTGCTGCTCTAATGCGGTTTATGCGCGATGCAGAAAGGTCAAGTCAGTTCATTCCTGTCCATAGAATCTGAACCAGGGTAAGCAAATATGTTAGTTCTTTAAGGTAACAATCCCAGTCGCATTTATGAATGCTAACTTTGGCCACGGATTTATATTACAATATATAATTGTAATATGAATCCTTGCTTTGGCATAACTTAACACAGAAGAATTCATTATGATTTGAACGCTTCTGGTGACTAGCAGCAAAATCTATCGAAAAATTACCAACTCGAACCCGCACTGATATAGCTCTGGCACTGTTAGGCTGGCGTTCTCCAGAAACTATGTCAAATGCCAAATGATTGCCTTACCAAGCACATATTTGAAATGCGATTAAATATGTTTATGCTTAAAGGCGCAAGTTAAGTTTCAACTAGGATTTATCTCTAAATGCAAAATATTGGTCAAATATGGGTTATTCAAGAATTTAAATGAATATTTCTTATTCTCAGAGTTCCCAACAAAATAGACTTGGAAAAACACAATAAGAAACAGCATTATTTCTATCAATATATTGACCGGGAAGTGATCCAATATCAAATCTGATCCAGAATTCTGCACATCTTGATCAATTCATATAGCAGTCTCTCCCTCTAGCTTATACCTTTTAGCAGAAACAAAAAATCTTATATGCCATGTTCTAAACGTCATAAAGATACATTCATTGAATTTCGTCAGTACAGGTGTCGAGATCACTCGCCAAGTTTGTGAATATTTCATAAAACATGTGCTGTAATAGCTCTGAATATTTTCTTAGGCGCCTTATTGATCCAGACATTTTGAACATTCTTGAATTAGATTCCAGCATGTCGCGGTGCTATAAAAACCTAACATATAACTCTATCTGCGTGTAAGACACCACCGAAAATACAAAATGTATGTTTCACTGCAGTGAAAAATTATTTTTTACAGTGAAAATACGGAACATGAAAATACGCACTTTATTTCATCAATATTTCTCAATATTTCATTTATAATTATGTAATGAATGTAGATATCTTTTCGTTTCGTCAAAATATCTTAAAAGGAATAAATTAATTCTTAAGTGTTTAATGTCTGCCTAGTACATGCAGATCTACAACAATGTACTTGAATAAATACTGAAAATTAGATACGATATAATCAGAGACATAGATTGTCTATGTCTCTGATATAATTTATTAATTTTGAAAAAAAAAAAAAAAAAAAGATTCTGATTCGATATTCAACAGATTTATATTTTTCTTGAAATATGTATCCGAGGCAAATAATATGTATAAGCCGATAAAAATCCACTCATATGCCACATAACATGTAACGTCGGCAAGTTCGAAAAGTCGTAGAACGAAAATATGCTGTCACATGACACTGTACTGTATATATCATGTGATAGGAAAATGGCGGCGCCCATAGTAAACCTTTGTGTCGGTTTATTATTTATATTCCTTTTATTTCCTGGTAAGAAAATTGTGTGATTATTATATTTTATTTTAAATCGGTTCGATTTAAACATGTGATGCGAATTTAAAAATATGTATAGTAGTTTTTGCTTGTATCGTATGATAATACTGGAGAATTATTCAGTTAAATTGTTTAAGTTAAATTTGTAATACTGCCAACCAATCTTACGAGTGTTATGTGCACGTCGGATGGTTAGTAAAAGGTGAAAAGAAAGCTATAGAAAGAAAAGTCCAAGCATTATAAACATGCTAGGAAGGTGAGACTGAAAATGTATTCTAGTCATGGTTTAAAATATTAATAGTGAAACAAGATGATAAGAGATAAAATAGTTTAAAAACACTGGGAGTAAGACTAGTACTGCAAACCCACCACTGCCAGTTTGAACTGACTCAAGTTTGGCAGGGTGGCAATGTTACTTAAAATGTTAATAGTGAAACAAGATGATTAGAGATAAAATAGTTTAAAAACACTGGGAGTAAGACTAGTACTGCAAACCCACAACTGCCAGTTTGAACTGACTCAAGTTTGGCAGGGTGGCAATGTTACTAGGGAGTTTATTCCATAGAATAATGCTATGGTAGTCGGAGGATACCTGTATTTGGCGTAGGGATAAGGAGTGCATATGTCTGGTTAATCTATGTGGGGCTTGGACATATGGTGGGAGATTAATTGCAACTAGGTTATTGTATATCTTGTAAAACATTATCAGTCTACAGTCCAATCTGCGATGTTCAAGGGATCGCCAGCCCAGTTCTTCCTGCATGGCTGTGACACTAGAGTGAGGGGATTAATCCCTTTAAACCCATCTTATTGTACGTCTCTGGATCATCTTGCTATATATATTATTATATATAATATAATTTACCCAAGTTTGCGTTTTACATCATATGGCATATATGTAGATTGTATCTTACCAGTTTCATTTTATTATTATCATTATTTTGTTTCTATGTTTCAACTGTACCTGTGCATTGTGTGAAATTCCTAATACCTTGTCTAATATACTGGGAGAAATTCTTTGCCAATGGGGAGAGTGTGAAGTGGAACTATAAAAAAACAGCAGTATTGTACAGAATTAAAAAACATGAAAGTAGGCAAAGCCTATGGAATAAAAACCTTATAAATTTCATTGTTTTAAATATTTTTTTTGTTTTAAAGGTGTCATTCTGTATTTTATGCAACTCTTCAATTTTTAATCGGAACACCTTGAGGATTATGCCTTAACCAAAAAGTTTTGATTGTTCCATTATCGTAATACCTCTGCTATTATCATTGAGTTAAATTAAAATGGCAACCCCTAACTACATGTACAAATGACACTAAAAATTGTACTGATATGATATGATCTCTAGTCATGTGAGTTTAACTCAGTGTTGTTTCTTTGATACCAGTTTAATACATGTAGATGCTTCGACATGTTAACATGTTTTAAAAATTTGTAATAATATAAATTCTTATCTAAGACAAGATTACCTCACTTTATTCACATGAAATTTTAAATCCAGTAATATCTTTATAAATAATGCTTTTTGGAACTTGCAACCATACAAAAAATTTGTGTTACAGGATCTTTTACAATTAAGTATGTGCTTCTGCACAGTTAATTGTCTATGATATAGAAAACACAATTTGTGTGAGTTTCCATTCTTCATTGTATATACAATATAGTAAACAAAATGTGTAAACAAGTCAAAATTAAAGACATATATCTGGATTGTACATGTATATATTATATTGTAGTAGTGCTAATATTTTATCATTTAATCTTATTTTTAAAATATTTATATTTTTGGTCATGCTGTGCCTTTAATAATTAAAGGTCATCATTGGTCTTTAATACTAGTGAGAACTTCTCACTCATTGATTCCAAGATATTGTACATGTTAAACTATTTATAAATTGAGTTGACACAATTAAGCACACTAGTCACAACTGTCACATACACTGGATGGTAGAGTGATTGTTTGTGGAGAAAGATAATAATATACATGTAGAAGAGGATACTTGTATCACTCACAAGGTCCATTATATTATTTCTTTTATAGACTGAATAAATATATCTAGCAAAGAACCTGATTGTGTTGTCTTGCCCTGAGACCATAGAGGCACAGCTGCTAGAATATCAATTTGTCAAAATTTGTTAAAATATGACTAGCAGCTGCTCTTTATGATTATAACGATTTTCTTTTCTTGTATAATTACAGATATCAATTGTGATGTGAAAACAGCCAGTGTATACTGTAGTGATCGACAATGTACCTACAAATTTGGCAACCTTGATGTAGAATCAGCAACAGCCTATGGTGTTTACAATGATACACTTATGGAAAGTGGTTGGGGAATTCTCAACATCAGTGCTGGGAGAGGCAGTAAGACAGCAGAAAATGTCGACCTTATGTTTGCTGCCGGCTACTTAGAAGCAATCCTTACTCAAAAGTATAAGACATTAGTTCTCCTTAGATTAAAAAATTTGCACTTTGGTGTGTCAATTTTAAAAAAAAAGTATTTCCTAGATAATGTAATACCTTTCATTTTTCAAGTTGTAAATAAAGAAAAAAAGCAAGAATGTCCATTGACAACAAAATACTTACATACCTGGTCTAATTAAAAAGATTTCACATCAGTTTTATTAAAGAGTATCTCTAAATCACAGTTAAATATCTAAAGAAATTTTCATGGTAAATAATTGATATTAATGTTGTAAATCAAATACAAAGGTATCATTATGAAATTATTATTTGAGTACAATGTGTTTCATTTTTTTGTATTCACTATTACAGGAGAATATTTCAGCATTACCAGAATCTGAATGACTATTTTGAAACAAGGTTTGGAAACAACACAGATGCTAAGAAGGCTGTGAAAGCATTCTTTTTAAATCAGGACATGTACATGAGAAAAATGATCAAAAATAATGTACCAGCTAGTCCATATTGGCGACATATGTCTTACATACTGGCACAATATGATGGACTTGCAAAAGGTTATGGGGATGTTGCTCCAAGTGATATGGTAAGTTGTATTTATCCTTTACAAAGTGAATTTTAGTAATGGTCCATTTGAAGTAAAAGGAATTTAATATCAAGATATAAAAACTGAGCTACCAATACTTTATAAGATGCTTATATATTTAAAGGGACTCCACTGAGGTTTAAAAGCCTTAAAATATAACATTTGAATTTCTTACATAAATGAGCTGGGGCATTTTAAACAGAAATATATGCAAAGATAGTTTAGAAATATCATATACTTTGAAATAAATTGAAAATCTCATTTTTATGCTTTTCTTAGCCCAAGCTGAGTGAAAAGTGTTTAAACGCTTTTCATTTTGGGTCATTATTTTGAATAATTATTCTGTAAAAACAAGGTGATATTTTTGTATAAATAAAGGTTTATACATAACATAGCTTGGACTGAATGTTGAAACTAATGCTTTAAATGAATGATGAGGTGATATTTTGTAGTCACAGTTAATTGGTCAGGGGTCAGTGACAAACAACTTCTGACATGCTGACAAGGTTGACCCTGCATGTTTTACATACATCTCTTGTTTTGATTTTTTCAGAAACTAAGTCTGTATGCATTTCAAGTATTAAATGGTAATGGGGATATGTTGGACCTTATAAGTGCTGTAAATCCCAAGAGTAGACCTGATTTTAAGAAAATGACCAAGGCAGAAGCTGTGTCTTTTATAGCCAAATCTGGACGATGTTCAGCTCTTATCAAGGTAAAACTTTCATTTTGTAAGCAGAACAGAAGCATAAACTGAAATATTAATATTCAACAACAAGTTTCCTGATTATATAGTTATTAGTACTATTTATTTTATTGTATTTCCCCTATCAATAATTTCCCACTATCTAGCTAGTTTACAGAAAGCTGATAGTTCTACTTGGGTGCCTGTACATGGAGGGGCGGCTGAGCTCTTCCTCTCCATGTGTTAAGCTGGAAAGTTACCATTTGACTGTAATAGTGTTAGTGTGACTTGTACTACCACCCAAAAAAACATTTATTTCCTGCATGACAAATACAGTCTACAATCCCGGAATTATATACCCCATATATTTTGCTGTGTTTAGACTTTGCACATCTCTTTCATTTTTGATATTAAATATCACAGCAATTACTCATTGTCCATCCTGACCTTATCTGTTATATTATTAAAACTGCATAGTAGGTATGCATATACTTACACTTTATATCAAACTTCAGACTTTAAAAGAGTTTATGACAGTCAGTTTATGTAAATTATATACTATGATTGTGTAAAGAAGGTTTTGCATATTGTACCATAAATTTCACTGTGCGTTGGATAATATTATTCTAAATGAAAGTTGTTGTTTTTCAGGTGTTAGGAGCATATGAGGATGTATTCATGTCACATTCTAGTTGGTTTATCTATCAAGCTACTATGAGAATATATAAACATTATGACTTTAATGTAGATGATCCTGACACTGCTGCCAAACAAATGTCTTTCTCTAGTTATCCAGGTATACTTGTTTTCTCTAGTTATCCAGTTATACTTGTTTTCTCTAGTTACCCAGGTATACTTGTTTTCTCTAGTTACCCAGGTAAACTTGTTTTCTCTAGTTCCAGGTATACTTGTTTTCTCTAGTTATCCAGGTATACTTGTTTTCTCTAGTTACCCAGGTATACTTGTTTTCTCTAGTTAAGCAGGTAAACTTGTTTTCTGTAGTTACCCAGGTATACCTGTTTGTCCCCTACCGGTTTACCGGAGGGGACTTTAGGTTTACCCTCCGTCCGTCTGTCTGTCCGTCCGTCCGTCCACAAAACTGGGTCCCGCGATAACGCAAAAAGTACTGAAAATATTTTAATGAAACTTGATATATGGATAGATGGCAGTATGGAGATTATGCACGTCTTTTTCTTTTCTTCCTATGTTGAAAATTCTGGTTGCTATGGCAACAAATAGACTGAAAATATGGCAAATTTTACACATAACCTGGATCCCGCGATAACACAAAAAAGTACTGAAAATATTTTTATGAAACTTAATATATGGATAGATGGCAGTATGGAGATTATGCACCTCTTTTTCTTTCTTTCCTATGCTGAAAATTGTGGTTGCTATGGCAACAAATAGACTGAAAATATGGCAAATTTTACACATAACCTGGATCCCACGATAATGCAAAAAGTACTGAAAATATTTTTATGAAACTTGATATATGGATAGATGGCATTATGGGGATTATGCACGTCTTTTTCTTTTTTTCCTATACTGAAAATTGTGGTTGCTATGGCAACAAATAGACTGAAAATATGGCAAATTTTACACATAACCTGGATCCAGTGATAACGCAAAAAGTATTGAAAATATTTTTATGAAACTTGACATATGGGTAGATGGCAGTATGAAAATTATGAACATCCTTTTCTTATCTTCCTATGTTGGAAATTCTGGTTGCTATGGCAACAAATAGACTGAATTTCAAGATTTCTGATTCTAGTTTTTAAGTTTTTATACCCCCACAAACGAAGTTTAGGGGGGGGTATATAGGAGTCAGCTTGTCGGTCGGTTGGTCGGTCGGTCCGTCTGTCCGTCGGTCTGTCCACATCATGGTTTCCGGACGATAACTAGAGTTTGGAATGAGGTATTGTAATCAAACTTGGTATATAGCAACCTTATGTGGAAACTCCGGTTGGTATTGCATTTGGATGCCCTGGGGTCAAGGTCAAGGTCACCATTACTAAATATAGAAAAATGGTTTCTGGACAATAACTAGAGTTAGGAATGAGATATTGTTTTCAAACTTGGTGTATAGCAAGCTTATAGGAAGACCTGGGTTGGTATTGCATTTGGACCCCCTGGGTTCAAGGTCAAGGTCACTGTTACTAAAAATAGAAAAATGGTTTCCTGACAATAACTAGAGTTAGGAATGAGATATTGTTATCAAACTTGGCGTATAGCAAGCTTATTTGAAGACCTGGGTTGGTATTGCATTTGGACCCCCTGGGGTCAAGGTCACCATTAGGAAAAATAGAAAAATGGTTTTCGGACAATAACTAGAGTTAGGAATTAGATATTGTAATCTTATTTGGTGTAAAGGAAGCTTATATGAAGACCTGGGTTGGTTTTGCATTTCGAGGGCTTAACGCGAAACTAGTGTAAGTGACATTTTTAGCAAAAATCACTTTTTTCTATAATCATGTCTAGAAATAACATATCCGTCCCCTGTATAAGTATTTTCTATGATTTCCAACATTAAATAAGATTATCTCATATTATGACAAATGATGTAAGTGAAAATGCCCCATTTTTTTAAATGTGAAACTAGACTAAGTGACAAAGGCACTTACATCAGTTTCACATTCAAATTTTTTTCCAATACATTTATAAGCAAAATGTTTAAGTGATGAAAGTATGTAAAATTGTTTTGAATTATTTAATATTAAAAAGTATTTGACACAATGTTAGTGATTGTTGGCAAGATGGACAACATTTTAGAGAAAAATTATGCAGGTTATAAAGCATATGTCACATACACTGTTTTCATATTCACAATTCAAGTTTTCAAAGAGGTTTAAATATAAATTTAGTGTAAGTGTACTCACTTAAAACTTTATGTGTGATTACATCATGAGTGATGTCATCAATTTTGTAAAACTTTGTCCTTTTCATATAACAATGAATGAAGATGAGTAAATAATTAAATGAATAAATACATTTATTTATTTCTTATTTTGATTGGTATTTATGTGAATGTGGGATGTCTTGAGTTGAAGAGATGGCAGTTTTGACTGGACACTCCTGTCTGGAAAACTTAATATCTTTTATTCGACACCTCTCATCAGTTCTTCTCTTATGCACTAGTTTAGTTTAAACATATTTTATTGCATTTAATACATGTTTACACAAATATATCATACAAATAATGAGTATATATCAAAATGCAAATGGGTTGGGCAACAAGTTCTTACAACATTAGATTAAGCCCTTCTTATGCACTGAAGTATGTTTTGAAATTAATCATGTAACAATATTAACAGGTAAAGATTCTGACTGCTTTTCAGATTCTTCTAGTGATTTGTCAGGTTTTACAACACTGAGTGAAGGTGAATATGCCTGTAATCTTTATTTGATAGAAGAAATGAAAAATTAACTTTTATCTGAATCAGAATTATCTGTCTGACAAGTCTGAGTCTGAATTTTCTAGTATTAATGATCTTGAAAAAAGATTATTTAAATATGGAGCTAGTTAATGATACGGTTGAAGGTTCTAAATCATATGATGATTAAGCCTGTGATAATATAAAGGGTGGTGATGATGAAAGAGTTGAGGTAGATACAATGCTGGGAGATGATATGTAGAAAGTTGTAGGTCAGGTGGTGAATTAGTAATTGAGAATGTAAATGGTAGTGATGATGCTGATATAGTTAAGTTTGATACAATGCTGGTAGATGATAGGTAGAAAGTTGTAGGTCAGATGGTGAATTAGTAATAAAGAATGTAAATGGTAGTGGTGTAAGTTAGATACAGTTCTAGGTGAAGATATGGTAGAAACTTGTAGGTCAGATAGTGAATTAGTAATTGAGAATGTAAATGGTAGTGGTGTAAGTTAGATACAGTTCTAGGTGAAGATATGGTAGAAAATTGCAGGTCAGATTGTGAATAAGTTATTGAGAATGTAAATGGTAGTGGTGATGCTGATATAGTTAAGTTTGATACAATGCTGGTAGATGATAGGTAGAAAGTTGTAGGTCAGATGGTGAATTAGTAATTGAGAATGTTAATGGTAGTGATGATGCTGATATAGTTAAGTTTGATACAATGCTGGTAGATGATAGGTAGAAAATTGTAGGTCAGATGGTGAATTAGTAATAAAGAATGTAAATGGTAGTGATGATGCTGATATAGTTAAGTTTGATACAATGCTGGTATGATAGGTAGAAAGTTGTAGGTCAGATGGTGAATTAGTAATAAAGAATGTAAATGGTAGTGGTGTAAGTTAGATACAGTGCTAGGTGAAGATATGGTAGAAACTTGTAGGTCAGATAGTGAATTAGTAATTGAGAATGTAAATGGTAGTGGTGATGCTGATAGAGTTAAGTTAGATACAGTGCTATGTGAGGATACAGTAGAAAGCTGTAGGTCAGATGGTGAATTACTTAGTGAGAGTGTTAAGGGTGGTAGTGATGCTGATGGAGTTAAGTTAGATACTGTGATTGATGAAACTTTGGTTAATCTTAAACTTTTACACAACTAGTCAGTGGGCAGGTATTATACAAACAGCTAGACGCAGGCATCCGAGTGATTTTCCTACTTATGTAACAGACTCTGAAAGAAGGCCTCTTCCCAATTGAAATTTTCTTTAAAATCATGCAGTTTTCCCAAATATCTGAACTCAAACCAGCTTTTTTACTTCCCAAATCAGCAATTTTAGCGATAATTTTTCCCAAAATCAAGAGGCTAAGGCCTCTTTCCAATAAAGCGAGAAAAATCACTGCTGAGTGATCCATACAAAGTTCATGAGATGTCCTTGTATGATTGATTTTTAGCTCGACTTTTCTATGAAAAGGGGAGCTATCCTACTCGCCCCGGCGTCGGCGTCGGCGTTAGCGTTGGCGTCACACCTTGGTTAAGTTTTTCGTACCACCCCACTTTATTTCAGAAGTATTACAAGTATGGCTTTGAAACTTACCATACTTGTTCACCATCATAACCTCCATCTACAGACAAGAGTACATAACTCTGTCAAGGTTTTTGACAGAATTATGGCCCTTTTTTGACTTAGAAAGTGTATTGAGCTTGGTTAAGTTTTTTGTACCACCTCACTTTATTTCAAAACCATTGGAGGTATTGCTTTGAAACTGACCATACTTGTTTACCATCACGACCTTCATCAACAGACAAGAGGACATAACTCTGTCAAGGTTTTGACAGAATTATGCCCCTTTTTGACTTAGAAAATACATTGAATATGGGTAAAATCCACTTATTGCCTTAACCCTTTGAGATATTGCTTTGAAACTTTTAATGCTATTTCACATCATTACCCCCATCTGTACGCAAGAGAAGGTAACTCTGTCAAGGATTTGTTTTAAAAATTAAGGCCTTTTATCGACTTAGAATCTTGGTTAAGTTTTTTGTACCACCTCACTTTATTTCAAAACCATTGGAGGTATTGCTTTGAAACTGACCATACTTGTTTACCATCACGACCTTCATCAACAGACAAGAGGACATAACTCTGTCAAGGTTTTTGACAGAATTATGCCCCTTTTTGACTTAGAAAAAACATTGAATATGGGTAAAATCCACTTATTGCCTTAACCCTTTGAGATATTGCTTTGAAACTTTTAATGCTATTTCACATCATTACCCCCATCTGTACGCAAGAGAAGGTAACTCTGTCAAGGATTTGTTTTAAAAATTAAGGCCTTTTATCGACTTAGAATCTTGGTTAAGTTTTTAGTACCAGTCCACTTTTTGACTGAACTGTTTGAGATATTAATTTGAAAGTTGGA